CCTGACAGGTACGATATCGGCACGCATAGTACGCCGTACGCTCACCGTACTAATACCGTGGAGGTATTTGTCTATCTGGGTATTTGTGTACGCAGTTTTAATAATAATTTAATATGTATTTGTTTTTTGACGTACTTATAATGCATAATGACATTTTAGGAAAGTGTTATCGCATTTTTACCTATTTGAGACATTTAAGATGTACTTATGTGTAAGTTTAAATTGTTTAAGGGAATGCTAGAGTCACGGTCGAAGTTAATCAAGGTCGATAGTACAAACTTTTTTGAATTCCAAATTCGATAATAGTGATATCTCTTTCATTCATTTCTTATAATTATTATATATCGTTGTGATGTGGGAGTGAGTGGGAAACATGGGAGCATATATGGGAGGGATTGAAAAATGGGAGAAGGAGGGAGCTGGCAAGAAGTGGTGGGGAGGATACTGGGGGTAGAAGGGGAGGGGGAGGGATGGATGAGGGAAGTTGAGGAGGAAAGGAAGAGGATGAGGAAGGAAGGGGGCATAGGAGAGGATAAGAATGATTGAGGGGGGGAATGCAAAGGAGAAAGGAGGGAGGGAGAGGATGAGGGGGTGAGAGAGGGAGGGAGGAATGAATGAGAGAATGAGATTAAATGAGAGGGGTGGGAGGCGCTGTGGGGAAGGTATGTTAAATGTAAAGATAGTAAAGATTGAAGGGTCCACAAATATGCATGGATAAGACAGCGGAAACATGGATAAGACAGAGGTCCGAGCGGAGAGAGAGAGAGAGAGGGAGGGGAGGGAGAGGGAGAGGGAAAGAGAGTGAGTAGGGATCAGTCGTATAAGATAGTTGTAAGTTAGTTTTAAGGTAGACTAATGCCCAATTTCTTCACTTCCAGATAAGTTGCGGATAACCTTATCCAGGAGATATCTCCATTGTATTCTGGGAAATATCTCTTGAATAAAGTTATCTAGAGGTGAAGAAATTGTGCATAAGGATAGAATGTAAGATTAGATGTAAGAAAATTGTGAGTGGTAATTGTAAATTGTGAATTATAACCCCGAGGGGAACAAAATAAATATATCTATCTATATATCGTTGTGTCTCACTCAAACGCATTCATCTGTTCTTATCTAACATATTGCAACGCCATCTCTTAGAAAGAGATCAATTAAAATAGTGCTCCGTTTCATGGCTTCACGTCAACTTTATTCGTAGCATACGAACGAAATTTTTGTCGATTCTTTCCTCTTATACTAAAGCTCCTAGCTCATTTTTACAGGCACAGTATTATTTTTCGAGGTTTTCTGTAAGCTGCAAGCTACTTATTTTAAACGAGTAAAATCCGAAACTTTTGTATGCAGCACATATTGCGTGCATTCGTTTATGCAGCAGTTAGCGCAGTGAGTTTCATTTAATCTTTGTTCAACACTCGGTGAACAACAAGGATAAAGCAATACTTCTGCGCTAACCGCTGCATAAATGAATGCCCGCATTGTGATGTGTCGACTACAGAAGCCGATAACAAAACTGTAAGTTTTAAATTTTCTTTCATTTTTCGTATTAAATTGTAGTTTGCAGCCAGTGTTGTTGTCGATACTTTAATTGTGGAGAAGGACTTTTCAATCCGTAAGTGCAATTAAGAAAAACGAGTCGAGGAAAATTAATCATACTTTATTGGTAAAACAGGACATTCCAGCATCCTCTTAATAGGTTTATAGTATGTGTGTATTCTTTGTCATGTGAATAAATTAAATCCTATGTTAAATATTGATAAGATTTCCTCGAGGATTTTCAAAAATCTCCTATATATTTCTCATGAGTATTTGCATGATCTGCATTAAGAGATGGGTGCAGAGAGAGAGGGGGGGGGGAGAGAGAGAGAGAGAAAATAAGATGTAGCCGTTTAAGTAGCATGGCTGTATATTAGTAGTTTATTACAAATTAAGAGATTTTAATATTGATATTTATAACTTTCACACGCATAATATAATTGAAATAAAATACCAACAATAAGTAGACACTGTGTTACGTATTGTAATATGTTATTATTACTTTTATTATAAATTATAGTACAAATATTAATAATATATTACGATATGTAACATAATGCAAATAAACAGGAAATACAAAGGATATACTAGAACAGACAATAGTAATTTTCGTGATCATGTAAATTGAAAATATCAAACTGGATACGATCTATATATTAATAGGTTTTAGAAGGTTTATTCTAAGGATATATGTAAGACTAATGTATAATAAAATAACCGTATAATAGTTCATTATAATTAAAATATATTTAACAATTATTTTGCGCTATAAACGAATAATAATATTATATGATATACTAAATAATACAGGTACGATAGTATTATAATGGCGAAAAATAATCAATGATGAACAAATGAAGCAAGACTAAACATACAGAAATACAGACGTAAATAAAAATTTAATGAAAACAATATTATAACATTTGTGTAATGACTAAATATAAGCAAAATTAATATAACAAAATATTCAAAATTAACACTATATATTCAGTAACAGTAGCATTAGTTAACGTTATTTTCCACCGATTCGAGCTAATATAAAAAAAAACTTATATTACGTAGTCATTTAAATTCGATTAACGAATATATAAATCGAAAATGTTTTAAATGAGCGACATTTTCTGACAATCTTTTCCATATCTTATTTTCAATTATTGAAATTTGTGATCTATTTAAGTAGACTTTTCCATGTTCATTTTTCAATTTTCGAATTTGTAATTTACTTAAGGAGAGAAATTTGTTTATATAAGTTTGAATCTAAAACAAAAAATGTTTTAAATTTAATCGTATTTTTTGATTAATTTATTATCGTTCCATACAGAATTGCATATAATAAATTATCGTTTTTCATGAAAGAACAAAACGCAAGTAGTCAAAGACATATATACCATGTTGAATATGTCATGCAGATATTAATATAAGTTTTCATAGCGGTTACACTAACGAAAAATTAATTTTATTCTCCGTTCATTTGCTTTTTTTGCAATTCTAAGAATTAGAAAAAGATAAACAGTAAAAACCTCAATTAAAATTAATCATACACTGATGAAGCCTGGCTAAAAGAAAACTGATAAATGTAGAGAATTTGATTTGAATTTATTTACCTTTATAAGATTTTCGTAAGAATACACATGGTTAATGATATCAACTAGCGCTGTTAATATGTTGATTTGTCTACGTAAAATCAATTCGTACAAAATTATATTTTATTATATAATATAGTAATATTGTTAAGCACAATGTTCATTTATAAAAAAAATGTACTTACGCAGGTTTGATAATCTCTATATTTTCAAGTATCCATTCGAGTATAGTGTTGGAATGTTTCATAATAATTAAATGAAAAATGTTTATATATGAACGAATACTCATAATATCTTGTTGTTTGAATAGCTCCAAAAGTAATGAAGAGACGGCATCAGGACCATATTTAAAACAAGTTAAGAATGGTAGCAACGTATGATTACGTCGTTTTAACGATATATCTTTCACATGTGAATATGTAAACGAATAAGCTGTTGCAAAACCGTTGCAATATGTCCAGTGTTTCCACCATGGCAAAAGGCTACAATTTCAAAAAAAAAGAATAAAATTATGCATATGAAAACATCGTTTATTATACGATTGAACCGGAATTTTGTCATAATTCGAAATACAAAAACGAAATTATGAAGCTATTGCACTTATAGAAAAATATTACGGATTTATTTCAGGATTTTCGAGATGTTGCTGTAATTTACGAAGAGCTGATTGTTCGCACTCATCGTATTGGAAAATACATGCCCATTTCACAATTTCTTGTCTTAAACATTTAGTAAAGTCATTTTCTATCAGATGTTCTTCATATCCTAGTGTCTTCAGTGGCTTCTCCAACAATGTTCTAAATTTCACCTAAATGACGCAAATTTTATATTTTCATTGATCACAATGAAGCTCATAATTATAGATAGCACTGACAATTAATCGTAATGAATTCAAAAAGGGATTCCTTTTTTTACATTCTTTCTGATGTAATAATCAGTTCGAAATAATTTTGAAAATTGGAAAATGGATGAATTATTATCTTCTAGTTAAATTAACTAGAAATCTATTTGATATAATTGTTATGAATAATGTAATGTGATTCCGATAAAAATAATAATTCTAGTAGATTTTACCAGATATATTGTACCAATCAGAATTTCGATTATCTCAGAATTCTAATAAATATAACAAAAACTTCTGATACACGTAATTTCAACTAGACATTTCTTATAATATATCTAATAGTTTTTGTTAAATATAATATTTGTTGGACATTACCATAATATCGATGAACCTAATTTCTACTTTGGAAAGTGGAATTGTAATCGACGTATATTCAAACACTTTAATCATCGGATACCACACTAAAAAATTTGTCTCTTGTGATAAGAATTGCGTAAGATTCCAAAATTCTGATACATTTAGCTGACGATTCATCATTAAATGAAACGCGTCATCGATGATTTTAGCACGGTTGATGACACTTATATCCTCATAATGTCCAGCTGTATCATTTAAATGTTTTGCAATGATGCCCCAGGTTACTGAATCATATTTGGCTCGATAGTATCCTATTCATTAACAAGAAAAGTATTTTATAGAAATGTACTACATATTTTACGAGATTGATACTGAGAGAAATACTTTTCTTCGTTTCATCTTCTTTTTTAGATTAAAGAGACTTAATACATACTTGTACAATGAAATATACTGAAAATTACTGTATCTATAATAGACATACTGTGTTTTGGGTACATGCATTCCTACGTTTCATATAATGAGAACACTCATCATGCACATTTTTATTATTATAGTGGAACATCGACTATCCGACTTAATGTGGAAATATTTGCAGAAGTATTTCTTACTATTTTCATAATTACATAAAAATTGTTGAATTTTTTATGTGTATTTACCTGCTTGCTGAAAGTTTACCATCCAAACTTCATTTAAAGAAGTGATTATGGGAAACTCGGAAGAATCAATATTTGGTTTTAAACATATTTTCCACATATTTTCATTTAATGATGATATTTCCGTTAAATCTATGGGTATCAGCCACTTCCCATAACTCGTTGTATTATAACGTTGCGATATTCTTTTTGTAACTCGGGAATGTACGTATTGTTCCCAGATTACAACAGGATAATGTTTGTACTTAATCCAAGTTAAGAACTCATTCGATGGTAAATTACAGTTATATGCTTCATCTAATTCTTCTTTCATAGACCAAAAATTATAAGATATTATTGAACTGAACGTCCTAAATTTAAAAAATTATTGTTAATGATCAGCATAACGGATGGAAAATAAAAATAAGAGTTATAACTTAACTTATAATATAGAACTCTACAACACAATTTCATGTCACACACATATTAGAGATGAAAGTCGCCTAGACTGACTCTAAGACTTAAAAATATAGCCGCTTATTTTTTTAAAGTAAAATTAAGTTAATATGTAAACGGACAAATAATTAAAAAGACATAAACAAACGAAATTGGAAAAAAAATGGACGAATTCGAAACGAAGGTATTATAAAATATTGCAAATATTATGAAAATGTTTAAAACATTAATAATCTATAAGAGTTGTTATATATATTTATCACAAACACACACACACACACACACACGCATGTATATCGTACAGGTATGAAATTAATTTTTGTACTATCTTCACTCACTGTCTGCTTACATATACATGGACATTATTTCGAAATACTTCATCGGTAATAGCACTTTGGAACATTCGTAAAACAATTAATGCTATAATAAGAGATATATTAATACATCGTAAATGAATTTTTTCCCACTAATCTTTTCCTGCCTTTTCTTTTATAATATACATATGTATAAATTTCTACTAAAATGTTATTATTTTCACCTTTCATATAACGAGGAAAACTTAAAATTGAATCAATGTCCGACAAGCTAATGTTTTCCACAGGATTCATATTAAAATGAGAATCCAGATGAAGAGATTCGTATTGATTCTGAATTATGAAGAGATCCAAAATTTCAGAATTATTGAAGCTCTAAAAACAAAGTTTCATATCTATGCATAAACGTTAAGGTAAAATACATGTCCGCATTTTGAGCTAACGAGTACTACTCCACACTATATATATGTGCATGTTTGTACCTTATTATTAAAATCATTTTACAATTATCATAATTCAGTTTAGAAAAACGCGTGAATCCAATTATTAAAATAAATTTTCAGACAATTGTGACATTATATGATCTAAATTATGATATTTTTTTAACATTTAATTGAAAACGTTTCTGGGAGGTTTTTTACAAAAATTTTTATATAATTTTATTATTCCTACTTAAAAGTATATCTTCGCAAATTTCAGATAATAAATAGACTTTAAAAATGATATGATCTTGCAGTCGGATCTAAGTTTCAAATATAAAAATGGTATTCGTAACAGAGATATATCTTTCATATCGCGATATTAATAAATATAAAAACCTTAGCAACAGCTTCTTCTCCGAACATAGTAGCAAGAGCATTGTGTAACCAAAAATAATTGTGTAACCAATCATCTGAAGTGAGGAGGTTACTAAACCATTGATATGCTATTTTAGGTGCTATTAAACGTGCGACTTCCATTTTGCGTATAACTGGATCCAATGTTTCATCATAAATAAGATTGGCTTCCCTAAAAAAAGTGTTATAATTAATCTAACATTTTAATGGTTTTTTTTTTAAATAAAACGTAACACTTTTTTAACACTTTCCTTTGTTTTTAATAATGTGTATAAAATATTTGATATTATAAATTATTTATAATTATGTACATATGGTAATTTACAATGGGATAAAATTATTTGCATTTTATTATATTCAGTTTGACATTAAATGTTGAATGTAATATCTCGTTAAAGATACACTTTCCTTATTAATTTTGTTAGGAATGTGGATTTTGCTTTTCGTGTTTCTTAATAAAGTACAACAAATGTCTAACACTTGATATACAATGTAATTCGTATAATGTGACAGATGCAATTGTGAATAAAATTTATAAAAATATATAAAAGTGTTTTATAAGTAGATGTTTAGTCTCCGAAGAATATATCACACAGTAAAATGGGTAACGGTAAATATACTAAATAGGTAAACCCGCCCAAAACTTGACTCTGACATTTGGTGCCATCAAGGTCATAAGGAAAGGCTCTCCGATTCGATATAATTAACAGGGTTACTTAAGGAAGCGTAAAGACGTTTTTTAAGTGCTTCTACTTTTTAAATAGCCTGTATATATTTTTAATCATATAGATTCTTTTAGTTATTTATACATGAACTTTTTTATACTTTGAGATATTTAGGAATTATTAAAATATCAATACATCATACGAAATATTTAATACTTTCTATTCTAGCGTATTTTGGAATAATGTGAAAAATCTCGCAACTGATAATTTCCTTCTAATCATATTCTGGTATTTTTACGCACAGTTGATGAAAAAAGGCAATTGATTTTAGAGAAGAAATAAAATTACAATTATTCGATATTTATTTTAAAATATAAGTTCTAAACGAATCACCTTGTATGATAATGATAGTTGTTAAATATATAATTTATTCAATTTTAAACTTTTAAATGTTTGAATAGATGCAAATTATTTTTTCGGTTAACATATTTTATATTTAAATGTATGCATTACGAATGAAATATGAGCCCCCATTTCGATATGCCGTCTTGTAGAAAATTTGGAATCACAATGTGATCCATTTTTGGAATATTTATCCCACCAAGTTCAGATTTTAACTGCAATGTAATATTGTTCATGACTCTTTTTGCAAACTCAAATTTCTGACGACGTTCTTTTGAATCACAATCGCACCACAAAGTAATGTTTTTATTAACTCTAATGGATTGATACTCAGTCATGACTATTCCAATTTGGAAAGTGGTCATTGGAGGCGTAATATAGAAGTATGTGCGTAATGTATCTTTATAACTATCATAGGTCATGAACTTTGTCGGCATATTTGATAAAGCTGAATAATAGCGAGGATGTTTTATTGAAATGTTAAACGTGGCCTTTAATTTCGGTCGGTCCCAACAAGGAAATAACTGTCTCATTCCATTCCGTTCTTGAATGTATGGGGCTATCAACAATCTATTAGAATTTGATAATTATTATATTTTAAATACAATAATGAATGTTTATAATTTGATTGAATACAAACAATATCATTAAAAATTGGTATGAATTACATTTTGAATAAAAATAAGAAATAATTATAAATCACATCATGTATAAGTATATTTTTTTAAGTATTTATAATTTACTCACGTTACGGTATTTTCTTTGGAAACATTTTTAAAGAAATTGTCTTCTATTAGATTACCAAAAAATTGTATTTTGAATGTGTAGAGTCCGGGAAGTAACATATAGTCTAAAGGAAATCCTAATATGTTCGTTTTTATGCTGTATTTGTTCAATACGTAAATTATGGCGTTCTTTGTAGTCAAAGTTATATTCGCAAGACTTATTATCAGCTTTAGTTGATTCAAACTTATATAGTGAGTCGACTGTAGGATATTAATAGTTGCAGCAGTTTTACCGCGAAAGAAAAATGAGTCATATTCATTTTTTAAACCAAACATCTCTTTCCAAATGTTATCAAGTTTATCAGTGTGTTCATAATTTGGGTTTATGTGGTCGAGCTCTGTGCAGTAGTGCACTGGTATCACGTAATAAGGAAAATGAATGTAGTTCTCAATGGTGAAATTGTTTTGTTCTTCACTATTAAGAATAGCTATTATCAGAATAAGTATTACATTATTACTTATCTGTTCTAACTTCATGTTGGCTCAATTGTCGTTCTAAATATACATATCTGTCGGAAAGTTTAAAGAAATAATATAGTACCAATGATAAAATAATGCACATTGTTATTGTACATGCTCTTAGAGAGAGAGGGAGAGAGAGGGAGGGAGAGAAAGAGAGAGAGAGAAAGAGAGAGTGAGAGGGAGAAAGACGTTATTAAATTTATTTTGTAATTGTAAACAAATAGGTACGATTACATCTACTAATAAGAATAACAGTAAATATTTTTTAATTCAATAATGTTTCTAGCATTGTTGCAATTACGTTATAAAGACATCGTTACAGCAACGTTATTTTTTCTAAAAAATTTTTATATTAATATTTATTTTAATTAAAGTTTTTCAGTTAATACGGAAAGTTTATTTTTCTGTTAATTAATAAGAAATCCTATAATTATTTTATAAATGTTTACAAAAAATTATATTTAATAGTACATTATTAAGGTACGTATATATGTTTATGTAAGTAACGTTTAGTAAAAAGTCAAATAGAATTGTTACAACGTCAATATTTAGAAAATAATGGAGCATGTACTCTGCAAATAATTAATATATCATATTTTTAGATACTTACCCTGTGTAATTAAATTGTGCTGTTAGAGTATAATTCAGACTCCTAATTGATATTCATATGATAAAAATAACGGAATTAGTAGATCATAATAGAATGTTTCTGATTGCTGCGATGTTATTCTTCCGAAATGTCTCAACAGACTAATGTCATCGACAACGGATTACATAGTAAATACAAAACCGTTTCTTTTAATGTAATCATGCGATATTAGTTGACGAAATTTTAATCGATTCTCTTTTCGATATAATACAAATTTAATATGTGTGGACACCTTTGATCAATTTATGCGAACGTTTGATTTTATCTTCTATCGAACTGTTGACGTACTTCTAATGCATAGTGACAGTTTAGGAAAGTTTTTTGCATTTTTAACTATTTGAGCTATTTAAGATGTACTTACGTGTAAGTTTAAATTGTTTAACATTTATATGTTTATAATGTATTCTTTATTATGTAAATAAATTTAATTCTAAGTTAAATATTGGCAAAATTTCTTCGAGGATTTTCAATAATCTCCTATATTTCTTTCATGAGTATTTATTATCTGCATTAAGAGATGGATGCAGAAAGATAGAGAGTGTGAATGAGATGGTTTGGGGGGGAGGGAGGAAGAGAGAGACAGAGACAGAGACAGAGACAGAGACCGAGATAGACAGACAGACAGACAGACTGAATGAGATGGTTTGGGGGGGAGGGAGGAAGAGAGAGACAGAGACAGAGACAGAGACAGAGACCGAAATAGACAGACAGACAGACAGACAAACAGACAGACAGATAGACAGACAGACAGACAGACAGACAGACAGACAGACAGAGAGAGAGAGAGAGAGAGAGAGAGAGAGAGAGAGAGAGAGAGAGAATAAGATGCATTCGTATAGGTCGTACACTCGTATATTAGTTGTTTATTATAAATTAAGAGTTTAGAATTCTAAAAGTTATAAATTTAATAATGTAAATGGTATGAAGTACTGAGTAGACATTGTGTTACATATCGTAATGTGTTATTAATAGTTTTATTATAAATTATAATAAATATATTAATGATATATTCCGATATGTTACATAATGCAAATAAACAGGAAATACAAAAGATATAATATACATATAACAATAATTATCGTGACGATGTAAATTGAAAGTATCAAACTGGATACTTTCCATATTAACAAATATTTAGAAGTTTATCCGAAAGATATTTGTAAAAATAATGTATAATAAAATAACTGTATAATAGTTCATTATAATTAAAATATATTTATTAACTATTTTGTGCTACAAACGCATAATAATATTATATGATATGCTAAGTAATACAGGTACGATAATGGCGAAAAATAATCCAGTAGTGTACAAATGAAACAGGACTAAACATACAGAAAATAAAGACGTAATTAAGAATTTAATGAAAACAATATCCTAACATTTGAGTAAAGACTGAAAATAAGCAAATTTAATATAACGAAATATTCCAAACTAACACTATATATTCAGTAAAAGTAGCATCAGCTTACGTTATTTTCCATTAATTCGACCTAATATAAAAGTAATTATTTAAATTAGTTTATAAATCCAAAACGTCCTTTATGAGCGTCAATTTCTGATAATCGAATTGATATCTTACTTTCAATTTTCAAACATTGTGATTTATTTATGAGTCGAATTTCTTTTATATAATCTTGAAACTATAACCAAAAATGTTTTAAAATGTAATTACAGTTGTTGAATAATATATTATCATTTCATAGAGGCAGAATTGCATGCAATAAATTGTCGTTTTTCATACATTAAAAGAACAAAGCGCAAGTCAGAGATATATATGCCATATTGCATACATCACGTAGTTATTAATACAATCTTTCAAAGCGGTTACACTAATAAAAGATTAACTTTAATCTCAGTTCATTTTGCTTTTTTCGTAATTCTAAGAATTAGTAAAAGATAAATAGTGAAAAACCGAAATTAAAATTAATACACTCATGAAGCCTGGCTAAAAGAAAACTGATGAAAGTACAGAACTTAATTTGAATTCATTTACCTTCATAAGATTTTTATAAGAATACACATGGTTAATGATATCAACTAGTCCTGTTAATATGTTGATTTGCCTACACAAAATCAATTCGTATAAATTTAATTTTATTATATGATATATTATTATTATTAAATACAATGTCCATTAATAAGAAAATGTACTTACTGAGGTTTTATTATTTCGAAAAATGTAAGTATCTTCTCGAGTATGTAATATGTGTTAGAATGTTTCATAATAATTGAATGGAAAATATTTACATATGAACGAATATTCGTAATATCTTGATATTCATTTTGTTTGAATAACTCCAAAAGTAATGTAGAAGCAGTATCGGAACCATACTTAAAACAAGTTAAGAATGGTAGCAACGTATGATTACGTCCTTTGAACCATGCATCTTTTAGATGCGACCACGTAAATGAATGAGCTATTGCTAAACCATTGCAATATGTCCAGTGTTTCCACCATGGCAAAAGGCTACAGATTAAAAAAAAAGGAATAAAATCATACATGTGAAAACATCGTTTATTATATGTTTAAACCGAAATTTTGTCATAATTCGAAATACAAAAACAAAATTATGAAGCAATTGCACTTATAGAAAAATATTACGGATTTTTCTCAGGATTTCCGAGATGTTGCTGTAATTTACGAAGAGCTGATTGTTCGCACTCATCGAATTGGAAAATACATGCCCATTTCACAATTTCTTGTCTTAAACATTTAACAAAGTCATTTTCCACCAAATGTTCTTCATACCCTAGTGTCTTCAGTGGCTTTTCCATCAATTTTATAAATTTCTCCTAAATGACGCAAATATTATATTTTCATTGATCGTAATGAAGCTCATTATTATAGATAGCACTGACAATTAACCGTAATGAATTCAAAAAGGAATTTATCTTTCTACAATCTTTCTGTAATAATCTGTTTGAAATGATTTCGAAAATAGGAAAATGGATGAATTATTATCTTCTAGTTAAATTTACTAGAAATATACTTCATATAATTGATAGATTTAATTCTTATGAATAATATAATTATTCTGGTAAAAATAATAATTTTAGTAGATTTTACCAGATATACTGTGCCAACCAGAATTTCAATTATCTTATTTATAATTCTAATAAATTTAACAAAAATTTCTGATGTGCGTGATTTCAACTAGAAATTTTTTCTGATATATTAATACTCTTTGTTAAATATAACATTTATTGAACATTACCATAATATCGATGAACTTAATTTCTTCTTTGGAAAATGGAATTATAATCGACATATATTCAAACACTTTAATCATTGGATACCACACAACAAAATTTGTCTCTTGCGATAAGAATTTTGTGAGATTCCAAAATGCAGATACATAGAGCTTACGATTCATCATCCAATGAAATGCATCATCAATTACTTTAGCACGATTGATGACACTTATAATTTTATGATCTGTCTCATTTAAATATTTTGCAATGCTGTCCCAGGTTCTTGAATCATATTTGGCTCGATAGTATCCTATTAATTAAAAAAAAAATATATTTTATTGAACTGTACTAAAAATTTTACGAGATTGATACTGAGAGAAATACTTTTCTTCATTTTATCTTTATTTTTAGATTAAAGAGACTTCATACATGCATGTATGATGAAATATATTGAAAATTACTGCATCTATAATACACATTTTGTGTTTTTAGCTACACGTATTCCTACGTTTCATATATTGAGAACACTCATCATGCATGTTTTCATTAATGTAGTGGAACATCGACTATCCGACTTAATGTGAAAATATTTAAAGAAGTATTTCTTACTATTTTCATAATTATATAAAATGTGTAGAATTTTTTATGTTTATTTACCAGCTTGCTGAAAGTTCACCATCCAAAGTTCATTTAAAGGAAAAGTTGTGGGATATCGGATGGAAGTAACATTTGGTTTTAAACATGTCTTCAAATCTGCATAAAATAATGATATTTCCTTTAAAGTTATGGGTGTTACCCATACCCCGTAACTCGTTTTGTTATAACTTTGCGATATTATTTTTACAACTTCGGAACGTCTGTATTGTTCCCAGATTACAACAGGATAATGTTTGCACTGTATCCAAGTTAAGAACACATGCGATGGTAAATTACAGTAGTATACTTCATCTAATCCTTCTTTAATGAACCAAAAATTGTAAGACATGAAATTTGAACTGAACGACCTTAATTTAAAAAGTTATTGTTAATGATCAGCATAATGGATAGAAAATAAAAATGAGAGTTATAACTTAACTTATAATATACATAGAACTCTACAACACAATTTTATGTCACACATATATTAGAGATGAAAGTCGCCTAGACTGACTCTAAGACTTAAAAATATAGCCGCTTATTTTTCGTAAGTAAAGTTAAGTTAATATATGAACGAATAAAAAATAAAAAAGACATGAACAAATGAAAAAAAATATGTATGCAGTAGAAACGAAAGTATTATAAAGTATTACAAATATTATTACAATTTTTAAAAACGTTAAGTCTAAAAGGGTTGTTACATATATTTATTACAAACACACGCTAAAGCATATATATAGTACAGGTATGTAATTAATTGTTATATTATTTTTACTCACTGTCTGCTTACATATATCTGGATATTATTTCGAAACACTTTATCGGTAATAGCATTTTGGAACATGCGTAAAACAATTATTACTACAATAAGAGACATATTAATAAATCGTAATTGAATTTTTTCGAACTAATCTTTTTCTTCCTTTTCTTTTATAATGTATTAGGTGTTAAACTTAACTCGTGCCGTTTTTCATCTCCAAAATTGATTTGTTTCGAAGGGAAATACATTAATCAAAGTATTATTAATAAAGTATTATTAATTAGTAATAAAGTAGAAAATGGAGGAAATTACTTTGATTAAGGTATTCATTCATCTTCCCTTCGGAACAAATCAATTTTGGAGGCTTGCAACGGCAGGAATTTAGTTTAACACCTAACATATGTATAATTTTCTACTAAATACATATGTATTATACACAATACATATGTATAAATTCCTACTAAAAGATTATTTAATTATTTTCACCTTTCATGTAACGAGGAAAACTGAAAATTGAATTAATGTCCGATAAGTTAGTGATTTCCACAGGATTCATGTTAAAATGAGAATCCAGATGAAGAGATTCGTATTGATTCTGAATTATGAAGAGATCCAAAATTTCCGAATTATTGAAGCTCTAAAATTAAAGTTTTATAATTATGCATAAACGTTAAGGTACAAGACATGTCCACATTTTGAGCTACCGTGTGCTACTGCACACTATATACAAAACATGAGAATGTTTGTGCATTATTATTAAAATTATTTTACAGTTTTTATAATTTGGTTTAGAAATATAACGCTTGAATCCATTTATTAAAATAAGTTTTCACACAATTGTGACATTATATGATTCAAATTGTGATATTTTTTTAACGTTTAATTGAAATGATTTTTAGGAGTATTTTTTAATTTTTACATAATATAATTATTATTCCTACTTAAGTGTATATCGTCGCGAACATCACATAATATATAGATTTTTAAAAAGATAAAATGGTATACATAACAGTATATCTTTCATATTGCGATATTAATAAATGGAAAAACCTTAGCAACAGCTTCTTCTCCGAACATAGTAGCAAGAGCGTCGTGTAACCAAAAATTAGACCACCAAGCTGAACTAAGTAAGTTACTAAACCATTGATATGCTATTTTAGGTGCTATTAAACGTGCGACTTCCATTTTGCGCATAACTGGATCCAATACTTCATCATAAATAAGATTGGCTTCCCTAAAAATTATTATAATTGGTCTAACATGCTATAATTTTTTTCTTTCTTTTTATACAAAACGTATTATTTGTTTACACTTTCCGATTTAATTTGTTTTCAATAATATATATAAAGTATTTGACATTTAATATTATATATAATATTAAATATAGTAAATTATAACAGGATCCAATTGTTTGTATTTTATTAAATTCAGTTTGACATTAAATGTGTAATATCTTGTTAAATATTTACTTTTCTTATTAATTTTTTTAGAAAAGTGGATTCTGCTTTGCGTATTTTTTAATAATGAAGTACAACTGACATCTAACGTTTGATATCACAAGGCAATTCGTATAATGTGAGACATGCAATAGTGAATAAAATTTATAAAAATATATGAAAATATTTTATATGTAAATATTTAGTACGGAAGAAGATATCACACAGTAAAATGGGTTATGGTTTATATACTGAATAGGTGAAATTCCTCATAATATTGACCTTGACGTTGGTTGCCATCAAGGTCATAAGGAAAAGCTTCCCAATTCGATATAATTATCAAGATTACTTGTGGAAGCATAAAGACGTTTTCTAATTGCTTGTATTTTTTAAACAGTCTGTATATATTTTTAAACATATAGATACTTTTAGTTGTTTATACATGAACTTTTTTATGATATTTATTTTAAGATATTTAAGAGGAATTATTAATATAATATATTATCAATGTAGCATACAAAATATTAAATTCTTTATTCTAGCGTATTTTGGCATGGAATAATGTGAAAAATCTCGTAACTGTTAATTTCCTTATTATCATATTCTGATATTTTTATGCACAGTTGATGAAAAAAACACAATTGATTTTAGAGAAGAAATGTAATTGCAACTATTACATATTTAATTTAAAATATTAATTGTATACAAATCACGTTGTATGATAATGATAATTATTAAATATATAATTTAATCAATTTTAAACTTTTAATTGATTCAAAATATTTTTTCGTTTAACATATTTTATATTTAAATGTATACATTACGTATGAAATATGAGCCCCCATTTCGATATACCGTCTTGTCGAAAATTTGGAATTGGAATGTGATCCATTTTTGGAATATTTATCCCACCGAATTCAGATTTTAAATGCAGTGTAATATTGTTTATGATTCTCTGTGCAAACTCAAATTTCAGAGGCGGCTCTTCTGAACAACTTTTGCACCAAAAAGTAATGTTTTCGTTAACTCTAAAGTCTTGATATTCAGTCAAGACTATCGCAATTTGAAAAATGGACATTGGAGGCGTATTATGGAAGTATGTGCGTAGTGAATCTCTATAATTAGTGTAGTACAGGTACTTTGTCGGCATATTTGATAAAGCTGAATAATAGCGAGGATGTTTTATTGAAATGTTAAACGTGGCCTTTAATTGCGGGTTGTCCCAACAAGGAAATAACTGTCTCATTCCATTCCGCTCGTGAATGTGTGGAGCTATCAACAATCTGTTACAATTTAATAATTATTATATTTTAAATGTAATGATACAATAATGTATCTTTACAATTTGATTAAATTCAAACAGTATCATTAAAAATTGATATAAAAATACATTTTGAAGAAAAATAAAAAGAAATTATATTATAAATCACATCATGTATATGTATATTTTTAACTATTTATCATTTACTCACGTTACGGTATTTTCTATGAAAACAGTTTCAAAGAAACTGTCTTCATGGTTTTCTCTTAGATAACCAAAAAATTGTAACTTTAATGTGTACAGCCCAGGAAGCAGCTTATAAAGAAAAGGAAATTGTAAAATGTTCGTATCATACGTTATTTTAAATTTATTTAATACGTGAATTACGCCATTCTTTGTAGTCAAAGTTTTATTCTCAATACTTATTGTCAATTTTAATTGATGCAAATTGATATATTCAGTGGATTTAAGTATATTAATAGTTGCACTAGTTTCACCGTTAAAGATAAATGACCTATAATCAATATGTTTTAAATCTAACATCTGTATCCAAAGGTAATAGTCGTAATTATCAAATTTTGTGCTTATGTAGTTGAGTTTTATGGAGTAATGCACTGGTATCACGTAATCAGATAAATTTACGTCATTTGGAATGGTAGAACTGTATAGTTCTTTACTATTAAAAACAGCTATTGTCAGACTAAGTATTACGTTGCTACTTATCTGTGCTAGATTCATGTTGCCTCAATTGTCGTTCTAAATATATATATATATATCTGTTAAAAATGTTAAGAAAATAATAGAGTACTAATAATATTAAAGCACATAACTCTGTACATGTTGTTAGAGTGGGAGGGGGGGGGGGGGGAAGGGTGGGGGGTAAAAGGGGGAGGGGGGGGGGTAGAGAGACGTTATAAAATTCGTTTTGTAATTGTAAACATACCGAGAGATACGATTACATCCACTATTAAGAATATCACTAAATATAATTCGGTAATATTTTTAGCACTGTCGCGATTACGTTAAAGATATCGTTATAGCAACGTTATTTTTTAAAACAGTTTGTCATTATATACTTTAATAAACATTTTCAGTTAATAGGTTTGTGAATACGAAACGTTAATTTTTCTGTTAATTTTATATCTTTTATCAAGAAATCTTATAATTACCATATGAATGTTTACAAAAAATTACATTTTATAGTACATTATTGAGGAACGTACATATGCTTACATAAGTAACGTTTAGTCAAAAATCAAATAGAATTGTTACAACGTCAATATTTAGAAAATAATGGAGCATGTACTCTGCAAATAATTAATATATCATATTCTTAGATACTTACCCTGTGTAATTAAATTGTGCTGTTAGAGTATAATTTAGACTCCTAATTGATATTCATATGATAAAAATAACTGAATTAGTAGATCATAATAGAATGTTTCTGATTGCTGCGATGTTATTCTTCCGAAATGTCTCAACAGACTAATGTCATCGACAACGGAGTACATTGTAAATACAAAACCGTTTTATTTAACGTGAACGTGCGATATGAGTTGACGAAATTTTAATCGATTCTCTTTTCGATATAATACAAATTTAATATGTGTGGACACCTTTGATCAATTTATGCGAACGTTTGATTTTATCTTCTATCGAACTGTTGACGTACTTCTAATGCATAGTGACAGTTTAGGAAAGTTTTTTGCATTTTTAACTATTTGAGCTATTTAAGATGTACTTACGTGTAAGTTTAAATTGTTTAACATTTATATGTTTATAATGTATTCTCTATTATGTAAATAAATTTAATTCTAAGTTAAATATTGGCAAAATTTCTTCGAGGATTTTCAATAATCTCCTATATTTCTCTCAAGAGTATTTATTATCTGCATTAAGAGATGAATGCAGAGAGAGAGAGAGAGAGAGAGAGAGAGAGAGAGAGAGAGAGAGAGGGAGCGTGAGGGGGGGAATAAGATGTAGCCGTATAAGTAGTACAGCCGTATATTTGTAGTCATTATAAACTGAGAGATTTGAATTCTGAAAATTTTAAATTTAATAATATAATTGAGGAGATGGGCGGAATAAACTCTGATAGAATTGTAAGCAGTTTTCCACTGAACCCTTTCCAGTTACTGTCTAATACAACTGTATTCTCATTAGTTGTGCCAATACTGAGTAGGAAATGGACAAAAACTTGATAGTGTTTTATTCAGTCCATTTCATGAGCAGTTGGCTTGCTTGTTAATCAATTTAATATCCATTATTTGTTATGTTTCTGTTTAATAAATGGATTCATCTTTTAGGCAGCTTTTGTATACAGTAACTGCAAACAAAGCGTTATATCCCGATTGGAATCCTGAGTAGTTTTCCTTCTGAGTTACTAGACAGAAGTTGGTATAACAGTTTAGTAACTTCTCAAAAAATGCATAAAATATGTACCGGGGAAAGACGCAATTCTACTTAGACCCTTTATCCGGCAAGTAGATTTTTTTATGTAATATTGATCGTAATAAAGAAATACTGTAATATGTAACTCCTTATAGACATTATATACATTCCTTTAATATTGTATTCATTTGTGTATAATTCAAACGTAGCAAGTTATTTTAATTTGTATTAAAATCAAGATTTTGTAACTATACTTTTATTCCGCCCATCCCCTCCATAGATATGAAGCACTAACAATAAGTAGACATTGTGTTACGTATCATAATATGTTATTAATGTTTTTATTATAAATTATAGTAAAAATAATAATAATATATTACGATATGTAACATAATGAAATTAAACAGGAAATACAAAAGGTATAATATACAGGGAACAGTAATTTTAGTAAATTGAAAATGTCAAATTGGATACTGTTCATATTAACAAGTATTAAAAGTTTATTCTAAAGATGTTTGAAGAATAATGTATAATAAAATAACCGTAATAGTTCATTATAATTAAGATATATTTATTAATTATTTTGCGCTATAAACGAATAATAACTTTGAATGATATGCTAAATAGGTACGATAGTATTATAGTAACGAAAAATATTCAATAATGTACGAGTGAATCAAGACTAAACGTACGGAAAATACAGACGTAAGGAAAAATTTAATGAAACAATATTATAATATTTGTGTAAGGCTAAATATAAGCAAAATTAATATAACAAAATATTCAAAATTAACGCTATATATTCAGCAACAGTAAGATCAGCTTACGTAATTTTCTATTGATTCGAGCTAATATAAAAGAAAACTAGTATATATTACGTAGTTATTTAAATTAGATTAAAGACGGTTTATAAATCTAAAATATCCTGTATGTGCGACAATTTCTGACAATCGGATGGATATCTTACGTTCAATTATCGAAAGTTGCGATTTATGTATGTAACCTCTAAATAGAAGTAAATTTATATAATCATCTTGAATCTAAAACAAAGAATGATTTAAAATGTAATTACATTTGTTTAATAATTATCGTTCCATATAGACAATATTGCGTGCAATAAATTGTCGTTTTTCATAAATTGAAAGAACAAGGAGTGCAGTCAGAGACATATATGGCATACTGCATACATCATGCATCAGTTATTAATATAAATTTTAAAGGTGGTTATACAAATAAAAAAAACTGTTTTCTCAGTTCAGTTTTTTCTTTTTGTAATTCAAAAAATTAGAAAAAGATAAAAAGTGTAAAAAACTGAAATTAAAATTAATCTTACAGTTATGAAATCTGACTAAAAGAAAACTAATAAGTGTATAGAGAATTTGAATTGATTTTATTTACCTTCTTAAGATATTTGGAAGAATATACATGGTTAATGATATCAACCAGCGCTGTTAACAAGTTGATTTGTCTATATAAAATCAATTTGTACAAATATATGTTTTATTATATAATATATTATTGTTAAATAAAGTGTAAATTTATAAAACATGTACTTACTCAGGTTTCATAATCTCGAGCTTTTTAAATATCATCTCGAGTATGTCATGTGTGTTAGAATATTTTGTAATAACTGAATGAAAAATGTTTATGTACGAACGAACATTCGTAATGTCTTGTTGCCCATTCTCTTGGAAACGCTCCGTTAATAATGAAGAAGTAGTATTTGGAGTAGCACTTCTAAAACAAGTTAAGAAGGGTAGCAACGTATGATTACGTGCTTTGAACCATGTATCTCTTATTTGTGACCACGTAAATGAATAAGCTATTGCAAAACCATTGCAATATGTCCAGTGCTTCCACCATGGTAAAAGGCTACAGATTAAAAAAAAAATAATAAAGTTACACATGTAAAAATCATCGTTGATTATATGTTTGAACCGAAATTTTGTCATAATTTTAATGCGAAAACAAAATTATGCAGATATTGCAAATATAGAAAAATGTTACGGATTTATTTCAGGATTTTCGAGGTGTTGCAGTAATTTGCGAAGAGCTGATTGTTCGCACTCATCGTCTTGGAGGATACATGCCCACTTCACAATTTCTTGTCTTAAACATTTAACAAAGTCATTTTCCACCAAATGTTCTTCATACCCTAGTGTCTTCAGTGGCTTTTCCAACAATTTTCTAAATTTCTCCTAAATGACGCAAATTTTATATTTTCATTGATCGTAATAAAACTCATTATTATAAATAGCACTGACAATTAATCGTAATGAATTCAAATAGGGATTTATTGTTCTACATTCTCTCTGTAATAATGAGTTCGAAATGATTTTCAAAATTGGCAAATGGATGAATTATTATTTTCTAGTTAAATTTATTAGAAATCTATTTGATATAATTGATAGAAATAATTATTATGAATAATGTAATGATTCCAGTAAAAATAGTAATTCTAGTAGATTTTATTAGATATATTCTACCAACCAGAATTTCGGTTATCTTATTTAGAATTCTAGTAAATTTAACAAAAAAAATTCTGATGAACGTGATTTCAACTAGAAATTTTTTATGATATACCTAATAGACTTTGTTAAATATGACATCTATTGGACATTACCATAATATCGATGAACTTAATTTCTTCTCTGGAAAGTGGAATTGTAATCGACATATATTCAAACACTTTAATCATTGGATACCACACAATAAAATTTGTCTCCTGCGATAAGAGTTTCGCGATGTTCCAAAATGCAGATACATCGAGCTGACGATTAATCATCAAATGAAATGCATCATCAATAAATTTAGCACGATTGATGACACTTATAATATTATAATCTCCAGCTGTGTTATTTAAATATTTTACAATGTCGCCCAAGGTTCTTGAATCGTATTTACCTCGATAGTACCCTATACATTAAAAAAAATGTATTTTATTGAACTGTACTATAAATTTTATGAGATTGATTCTGAGAGAAATACTATTCTTCATTTTATCTTCTTTTTTACATTAAAGAGACTTCATACATGTATGTATGATGAAATATATTGACAATTACTGCATCTATAATATATATATTGTGTTTTTGGGTGCACGCATTCCTATGTTTCATACAATTAGAAAACTCATCATGCATATTTTCATTAATATAGTGGAACATCGACTATCCGACTTAATGTGGAAATATTTGCAGAAGTATTGCTTATTAATTTCATAATTACATACAATGTGTAGAATTTTTTATGTATATTTACCAGCTTGCTGAAAGTTCACCATCCAAAGTTCATTTAAAGGAGAAGTTGTGGGATACACGATAGAATTTACATTTGGTTTTAAACA